AAAAACGCGTAACGATGTTCTCCGCATAACAACACTGGTCTAACTATACGATGTCGATGTAAACCATGACTATGTTTTTGTCAGAAACCGCGCAATTTTCCGTACTTTTGTGATTCAGTCCGCAAATTTAGATACACTGTAACGGGTCTTCCTTGCGTGATCTATATGAAAATAACTTTCCATGTGTGGAATTTAATAAGGTTTAAGACAATCAAAAAATTATTTGCATCGCTTCGCTTGTTTTACTTTTTTGTGGTAAAACGTCGACCCAGAATAGTTTTGTCCAGCGTACTAAGAAGGGAAACCCTGGAAATAGGAAAAGAGTGTCGGAACATGTTCCAAAAGTTATAATATAAGCCGAGAAATTTCGGAGATTTGATTGGTTGATAGTGTCACTATATTTTGCGTGATAGTGGTATAACAGCAAAAATGGATGGTGTAACAAAGTTCCTATGGCTGTTTACCATTTCTGGGATTTCTTGAAAGGTAGACCAAAATTTCCAGTCGGAATTTCCGAATGGAAATGTGCGTTCCATTTGCTAGTTTTAACTAGTTATAGCTCCAGAGCTCCAGGCTCGCTCTATAATTTCCTTTCTTCCGGGAAAATCAGCAAATCGACCAGAAATCGGCAAATGCGGTAAGACACTAACTCGGTGGTCTCAGTCGAAAGATTGATACCGTTGCAGCCTTTTTACACAAGTCAGAAGATCAAAGAACAATTCAAACCAAAGGAACATAAACCTCCAATTGTGAATCAACAAAACGTTGTTTATTATTACAAGTGTGGCCTGTGTAATGCAGACTATGTCAGCTTCACGAGTCGACACCTACATCAATGTGTGGAGTAACATAAACGATCAACAATCGGCTACCACGTAAAGGATCCAGAGATTATTGGAAGCAATTTCGAGATTTTGAAAAAATGTCAGAGTAAACTCGACTGTTTGAATTTTAAAATGTTTTTTATTCATAAACTTAAACCAAAACTGAACAAACAGAGTGACTCGATCCGCGCGAAGCTATTTACTTAATTATTTCACTTTTTATATCGTTTCTATCGCCTTAGGGTTTTTTTATTATTCATGCCGCAATTTTCTTGTATTGTTTCTATGTAAATATTTTAGGGTTTTAGGGCCTCTTCATATGAGCCCGGTAACCGGGCTGGCTCGGTTACCGGGACCAATTTCGTGGTCTGTTCATATGGGAAATTT